TTAAGTTTAGATGGGTAAAACAATACAGTTATAAAATGTCCAGTCTTTCTTCTATTAAGTTTCATACAAAAGGCTCCACTACTAAGCTCTACTAACGCTGCACTTGCCACATTGGAGTCTAGAAAGCCCTCCTCTGTATCCGCCCCAGGGTTAGCCTGAATATATTCTCCAGTTAGCCTGTTTACGGTTAGCTCTCGATAGTACAACTGGTAACACCATTCAGTTAAAAAGTCTGCAGTATGAATTGTACCTTCCTTCTTGAGTCTGCAGTGCACAGTCTGCGTTTTACACTGACCGATTTTCGATGTACCTACAAGCCTTCACATAAACGAATGTTTCCCCAGAAAGTGGAAGAAGAAACCATTTTGACAGATTGCTTTTCTCGTTAACACAATGGAGAAATGCTTGCAAAAACGAGGCCCGCAACAGCGAGGAAAGCAGCGTAGCCAAGGAACACGAATCGTAGTAAGTACGAAGTAGCATGAGCTGTAAAATATCAAACACGGGGGAAAATGTACTACACAACTTTCTGCAAAGCCATATGAAACCTCCATAAGTTTACTACAAGTTTTCAGCTGATTGCACTGAAGAGGCAAAACGAGACACAAATGAATAGCACACAAGCGAAAAACACAACAAAGTTAGGCATTAGTGTGTGCTACTTACGAATTCGTCTTCCACTTTTCTTTCTTCTGGCAACGATACAAAAGTCCACGAGCAAATAGCATTTAAAAATTTTCATCAGCACCAATAAAAAGTCATACTTTATATGTTCCGTAAAAATAAACAAGCTATAAAAAATAGCGGTTCAAAACCTTAGCGAACTTGACATGACCTCACTAAAAGGAAAAACGGTACCTTGAGTGAATGTGGAAAAGCTGAAAGTTTCCTCTCGGAAGAGCTGTCTTTATCGCTTGATAAATCTGAAAATACCATTTCGATCCTTTCGCAGAGTCAAAACATCTGCTCGGGTGATTGCTCAAAGTAGCCGAGTAATTGTTCATGAGAGCCTTGAGCAAGCAAGGTGTTGCCAAGAGCCACGACAATGACCTGTTTGTTTTTGATTCGTCGTCCGCCATTTTGAAAATCGAATGGCGGGAGACATGGCGGGTGAACGCTTGACTAATACTGCGCACGTCCAGCTGTTTTTTGCGCACTGTTCTCTATGAGAGAGCATTTATCCAGTGATAAGGCCTCTCAAATTTTCAAACATCT